TTTCTTTCCTTATGTATATTCTGGCTTCTGTGGAGTCACCCCAAAAATAAGCCTGACCCAGTGTCTCATACAACTAGATTCACCTTGATTTACCTTATTTTACCTTTTCTTGAGGAATTATCAGACCAGTTCAGCAAATTTCGTGTTTCAGAATGGAAGAGAAAATGAGGAAGCTTTTCACTATTTTATTCTACAAAGAAAAGCTCTATATTTGAAAATCAAAAATTAAAGACTGCTTTTCTTTCAGATAGCTTTTCCAACCAATATGGAAATTATAGAGAAACTTTTCCTTTCTGAGCAACTGATACCACAAGAGACCAATGTTAGTCTGGTATCATTGCTACTATAGTGGCATTTAAGTACCTATAAAACAGATACTTAAATTGTTTCTATCTCTATAGGCAGCTTTACATGGTCATGGAAATTTAAGAGGCTAATTTTAATTAAGTTTCTTAACAATGACAGCTGTATAATGTACACTATAATGATAGAGACAGTGAGAATCCTAGCCCTGATTCTTCATGGCGCTTGTATTCTAACGTCTACTTGTAAACATTTAATTTAAATTCTTACCTGTACTTAAGAAATATTTCTTAGGAACCCAAAGGTCGAAGAGCATCCACTTCACAACCCACTGCAAAGTGTTCTGGTCATGCACAGCTCTACCTGGAGTCAACAGAAAGAATTTGCAGATGACTAGGAGACTCTTAAACTGATTGTATTCCACATTTTCACCTCCCTTTTTTTTTTTTTTTTTTAAGGACTAGATGTGTTATTTTTGCAAGGGCAAGGAATGAGGGACAGAATCTAACACTCAAGTGTCTATTTCTAATTATGCTAACTAAAGCTAAGGACTAGATGTGTTATTTTTGCAAGGGCAAGGAATGAGGGACAGAATCTAACACTCAAGTGTCTATTTCTAATTATGCTAACTAAACTGGGAGTTCTATTTGCATGAGGTGACAAAAATCAGTGTACAAAGCTGTCATCGTTTTGATAGCCATACATAGAAACATGCGTAGTTATGCCCATATGCATTTTTAGGCATTCGTATTAAAGTACATCCAGAAATATTTATAGCACCTTCAAGGGGAGAAAAAAAAAAGCTCTCATCCTTCTTGTTTTTCTTTACTCACATCTTAAGATTTTCTACCAAGGTAGAAAGAAATAGATTTTTCCTGTCCGCTCCAGTTTATAAAATTCCTTTTTATTTCACAGACATTGCAGTGTTTCAGTATTTCCCATGAAGTGGGGAACACAGTTACACGGTTGTTTTTCCTCCGATAGCTGCTTCATGCTGCCACATAAGTCACAGGTGGGAGGTATTATAGAATCAAAAGGCCTGTTTGCTGCTAACTTCCTTGCAACTCGGTTTCTTGCAGAAGAGAAAATGGAAGGCTTTAGGAGTGATTCCGAGCGCCTGCAGTTCTCTCTTTCATCAATGGGAGGTGTAGGTTTCTAAAGCTTCTTAAAAACCAAACCTTGCTGACTCTGAGTTCGGGTCTCTTCAGGCTATGATCACAATTGCTGCAGAAGCACTTAGACAGACCCTGGAACATTAATGAGTTCTTGGGGGGGGTAACACTGCAGGTGTACACCATGGTCGCATTTGCTTACAAGCATCACTGCAAGCCAGGGGAAGCAGGAGCACATTTTGTGCATCTTACAGTTTTACACTAATATTGATCTGCTGAGAAATCTGTGTAAAGATCACCCATATTTCTGCAGGTATTTACCACTTCTGCCACCCCTTTTCTTCCTTTGTTCTCTACCTGGAAAGCTCACTATTAACTCTCCCCATCCCTCCAGAGTACTTTTGCCCTTTGAGTACAGTAAGTCAGGCCAAGGACACTTCCCAAGATTCAAATACTAGTTTCACAGAAAAATAAAACCAAAGAACATATGAAAGAATACCTGCAGAGAAATTACACTTAACCTTTTCTGCTGTACCAGCTCCTTAACTAGCAATAAGCCCTATTTCCCCCCCCCATAGTCTTGGATATTAGCTGCTGACATACTGTCCTTTTTATGTTCTTTCACAAACCTTTCTCAAAGGAAGTGTATTAAATTAATTTTAGCTTTTCCAGAAAACAGTATTATCCTGAATTACTATTCATCAACTGAAGTGGGCTCACCCAGAACAAAATACCCGCTTAGAATATCAACTGGGGAGTGGAATACAATACTTGCAAGTTGATGTTTCCATTGTTAGCAAAAAATGTCAGTCGCCACAATCAAATAGTTGCTTTTGTAGAAGTATTAAAGGCAGGTGTGGATTCACAGGGTGGGGTAGAGGGACAAGAAGGGGAGGAAAGTCAAGTCATATTACATACTGCTAAGCAGCTAATGCTGTTGTCAGGAAACAGCAAGAGCAAGGCTGATCCCCAGGGGAAGGGGAGGCAGGAACCAAGGGATAAATCCTACAATTGTCAAGGTTATTCCTAACTGGGGCCCAGTCCCACAGCACCCAAGGGAAGCAAACAGCATAGACTAAGAATAACAGCTAGGTCCAACAAATAATTCAAACTGTAAGTCAACAGTATGGCAATGAGGCAGGTCCAAAGTCAAACAGAGATACCAACCTGCAGGCCAGGATTAAGACCGGATCTAGTGAACTCTAGGCACATCCATAACAATAAGAATAACCAAAGAATCAGTCTAGAAGTTAAAACCAGACTCGAGGATTCCATGGGCACATAGGTTTGCAACCAAGTTAGAGACTTGCACCTCTCCACAATTCATCAGGGACTGATGTCCCTGGGCTAAGCTTAAATAGACCTCTTTGGCCCACAGGTGTGGGGAGAGGCGCCAGGTGAGGCTGGTCATGGCCATTAATGGTTATTAGTGCAACTTACATCATGTGAGATGATTGCAGTGATGTAGCTGGGCAATCTTCCTTTGTATTGAAATTAGAACTGTATGGGTGAATTTCAGGTTACAGCAACCTCTGGGAAAAGGAAAATTTTCTTCTTATGGTTCTTCAAATAAAGCATCAAAGATCCTCATGATCTAAAGTTCCCTGAGCATCAGCTCTGACCCAGGGAGGAAGGTGACACCATTCTTTAAGCCTTTGATACTCTTCACTGTTCTTTTTGTGGTGATCTCTAACAAGGAGTATCTACCTGACTTCTGAAGGAAAACAATGGGGTTTTTTTCTCCTGGTTCCTTCAACACAAATAATCAGAATGGCTGCAGAGATTCTCAAAGACTTTTGTCCACAGTCTATATTGAGTTTCTTAAGCTTGTTTCTTGAGATTTGCGAGGCAGTTTGCTGAGAGGAAAAAATAGCATTGACAGCCCCCAAAACAGCCCACGTATGCCCTACAATGGTGTTACCCATACAGATAGAGCAGCTCCCTTCCCTTCCTTCACCTGCACTCTAGTGATATTTTCAGAACCTCTTCCTTGGGCATCTTCACTAATACAGCGAGGCAAACTGACACCTCAGAATGGTTTGTCCGATTTCTCTGTATACTCAAGTAGGTATTTCTGCATGGATTACATTTGATGGACATCTGTGAAATCTTCCTTAGAATAATTATAACTAAAAAGTTGCTGTTTAAAACAAAACATACAGTGGAAAATCTGTTGCAATTTTTTGTTATTCCTTTCCCCCACCGCCCCCAGCTAGCTCTGAGCTGTGAACAAGAGTGCTGGGTAGCACGAACTGAGAGGTGTGTGAAATGCAGCATTCTCCATCCTCCTGAGTCACCGCTAGCCATCGGCTTCTTTTCTGAATGCTTGTTTTCACTGCTACATTTTCAAATTAAACATGGCTTCACTTTATATTCTTACTAAAAGCTCAGCCCTTTTAAAAGCCTAAAATCAGTTTCTTTACTGTAGAAAATTATTTTTAAAAACAAAATCTCTGTACATAAAGTGAAGCACTTGTTTGTGTTTCTGTAAAACAAACATAGCTACAACAGCAATATATAGTTTTGCAGCCATAAACAGAAATTGATGTATTTTTCATCCATATTTGAATGAAGATGAAGCAGCAGCAGCTCGGTAGTGTTTCTGCAGGCCTCCAGTTTAATTGTATCAAATATTTATTGTATGTTCTTCAAGTGCTGTCCTGGCACAAAGCCCTCCCATACTGGTGTACCACCCAACTGCACCAGTACTGTAATCAAACTGCACGAGTGTATCAACCAAACTGTATGGGTGCAAAGACCAAACTGTGAGGGTGTAGTAACCAAACCATGCGGCTACATTGACCAAACAGGTGTAGTAAACAAACTGTATGGCTACATTGACCAAATCATACCTGTACATTGAATGCACTGCATAGATACAGTGACTGAACCCTATGGGAATAGTGACCAAGATGCACAGTCTCACAGACAGGTGTAGAACCACAGAATAGTTTGGGTTGGAAGGGACCTTAAAGATCATCTTGATCCAAACCCCCTGCCCTGGGCAGGGACACCTCCCACCAGACCAGGTTGCTCCAAGCCCCAATCAGCCTGGCCTTGAACCCCTCCAGGGATGGGGCAGCCACAGCTTCTCTGGGCAACCTGGGCCAGGCTCTCACCACCCTCACAGTAAAGAATTTCATCCTAATATGTAATCTAAATCTCCCCTCTTCCAGTTTGAAGCCACCATCCCTTGTCCTACCACTACATGCCCTGTAAAAAGCCCCCAAAGCAGGCAGGTACACCTACCAATGGAACCACAGGACACGCTGACTGGGCCACACAGGTACACTGGCAGGACTGTAGCAGTGTATCAACCCTCCATGGCACCCCACAGCCCTGGAGGCCTGGGGACAACCTGTGCCGCTCTCATTTCAGATCATCGAGCTGGCCCATTCCCGACATCTCCGAGCGTGGACTTTGAAGCCATCCCTGCCCTCGAAGGAGGGTGTGTATGTGAGGGCTTTGCCCCCCCCAGCGCCTCCCCTCAGTCCACCTGGACTACATCTCCCAGGGTGCACCGCGGCGCCGGCGCCCTTAAGGCCCCCTGGCGGCGGCGCGCGGCTGACTGCAGGAGCGGCGGGGCGGGCTGAGGCGAGCCGAGCCCGGGCGGCGTCGAGCGGGGCGAGGGACGCGGGCTGGTGCCGGGGCCCGTGCCCACCGGCCCGGGGCGGCGAAAGCCGGGCTTACCCGCCGGGGAGGGCTCGGGGAAAATAAAATAAAAAAAAGGTTCATAGTCTTGAGCTCGCCCCTGCGAGGAGCCGGTGCCGCGCCGCAGCCATGGGGAACCGGGGGATGGAGGATCTCATCCCGCTGGTCAACCGGCTGCAGGACGCCTTCGCCGCCATCGGGCAGAACGCCAACCTCGACCTGCCGCAGATCGCCGTGGTGGGGGGGCAGAGCGCCGGCAAGAGCTCCGTGCTGGAGAATTTCGTCGGGAGGTGAGGGAAGGAGGCGGCGGCGGTGGTGGCGGTGGTCCCTGGGGAGCCCCGCCGCGGGCAGGGCTGAGGGGGAATGGAGGGGGGGTACGGGTAGAGCGGTGGGGTGACCGGGCGGTGCAGGGACACTGAGGGGCTCGGGGTGTCGCGGTGCAGGGACAATGGGGTGCCCGGGTATTGTGTCTGGGTTCCGGGGAGCATCGCGGCTCCCCGGCAGCGCCGTGCGGGATGCGTGTGCGGTGCAGGAGCCGGGGCAGCGCTGCAGGACGCCCGGGCGCTGCGGTGCAGGGGCAAGGAAGGGCGGAGGAGGTCTCCCCTCCTCGGAGGCGGGGGGGGGCAGCATCTCCGCAGCGGGGTCCCCGCCTTTGTCGCACCTTC